TTTCAAGTTTTTTAGCCAGAGGGATGATGTAAAAGTCAAAGAACCCTGCAACGAAGCAACAAGTGTGCAAGAACAGCTCTCGTTAGTATCATGCCAGTAGACCAGTAGTCACAAACGGGGCAACGAGAGTGGACCCACCGATTTCTCCTTCATACCAGCCCTCTGATTGTGCAGGAACAGTTTCGGAAAGAGCAAGAAGGGTGAGATTTCGTACGCAAACTAGCCAGCGAGGTCGTTCCATGCACGCACCTGAAGGATCCTTGTCAGATCTGCCGTCCTTGTAAGCCTGGTACATCTCACAGAACAAGCGCTCGTTCCATTTTCGGTAGACATCTATAGAAGACAACAATGGGTATGAAGGAATGAATCAGCCATCCAAGCCCAGAGGAATTTGTGGACGCCAGACTCTTGCATTTGTACTTACGCCAGTGTTGCATCTGTTGTGGTGGGCGGTCGATCCAGACGACGTGGTTGAGTAAACAAATCCAGGGGTGCTGTGGACGGAGAGCTTGCGATTCGACTTACTGTGTGGGCAATATCCGAGGCCTGGATCAGGTGCTCCAAAACTATCGTTGCTTTCCTATTCACCTCCGTTTCTTTGTTTTCCTTGCTGCTTTGAGAAGGCAGGGGACCTTCATTGCTGTTGAAAGCCCTAGCCCAACGATCCTTTCTTTGTGCTCTGAAAGCGGAAGGAATCAAGCGTGAGGAAACCATAGTGTGCTTTGGATGTGGGTTCCCGTCGTGTCAGTTTGGTTCCACTCACCCGAGGTCCTTGTCCATGATATCTGTTGCAAGTACCAGATTCACCACGATGGACCGGAACCGAGTCAGCTCATCTTCGTTTGTGTAGATGCAAGCACGTAGTTGTCCAAATTCAGGCTTCATCAAAATGCCCCACGAAAGTTCCACAGAATTCTATACATGGCGAGATGAAGGCCGGGAAAAGACTCGATTGTTACAATGGTTGCTTTGAGAAATTTCTTGGCCCGGAACTTCCAACACGTACCTGTTCAGCAATGCTTTTGCCATGGTACTTTGTCGCAAGAGGATCGTTTTCTTTAACCAGAGTCCTGCGAACAATCGATTAATCGAACCAAGACAGTTAGAGAGGTCGACAGTGGACTAGTCAGTTGGAAATTGCGACGATTCCTTACGTGTTGGGAACTCCAGGGTGGTCAAGGTCATGAATCAAACTAGCAAAGAGGGCAGCAAACCTCGTGATTGGATCTGATGTCAGGCCAAAAGAGAACCTAAGGTTGGCCAGACGACAGCGGCAAGATGAGCAAATAAACAGAGGACACGGAGTTCCCGACATTCAACAGTTGTTTACA